ATAGTAGCAGTCTGGCCAGTGGGACCCCTTCAACATTTTCCTTCTTAGGCTTCTGGCTGCATTCTTGTCTTGTACAGCGGCCAAGTCGTCCACACCACTGGCACCAGAAGATTGAGCACCCTTGAAAAGGGAAGCTGTCCTGGCAGCTGTGATCTGCCCAGACAAAAAAGCATCCGAAAGATTGGCCCGAAACCTTTTCTTCTCAGGCACGTCTTCCTCATTGTAACCACGACTGTTCTTGGAGTACATGGCTTCACATGCAGCTCCAGAAGTGAAACAAACTTCAGAAACTTGAGCACCTATACCCTGCACAGCAAGCTAGCACAGTTGTCGGCTGAAGTCTGCGAGCTGCTGCTGCACTCGCCCTTTTGCATGCAAAGGGCCCTGTCTGCAGCTCGAGAAGATCGACCTTGGCTGCAAGCAGAAAACATTCAGCAAAAGCTTGAAAGACAATATGTAGTGCATGCTATTCGCGGCTGCAAAGCACTGTTTTTTTTTAAAGTTCGCCTGCCGTGGATCGCCTCAAAGCTGCTTTCGCAAAACTGCAGCAAAATGCTGCTTGCATGATATCCAGATCCATGCTCGGTGGATCCTAGGCCTGCCAGCCCTTAACCTTCTTCAGCAGCAACTTCACATTGTCAAGATGCTCATTGGCATTGCGATTCCACTGCTCCATGTCGGCTTTCTCGTTCTTGCAGGCTGCCTCGTCCATCGTGGGAAGCTTGCGATCCAGCAGGACCTGGATCTTTCGAAGATCCTCCACAAACTTCTTCAGAGCATCCAGGGTAACCCGGACCTCCGGCGCTTTGCTAGCGAGCTTGGGGCAATTCTCGAGAGCAATGCATTCCGAGCTCAACTCTCCATGCTTGGCATCCAGGCTCTTGACTGCACTGTTGGCCACTTTGCTCAAGTTGCTCAGCTCGGTCCGCTCGGGGTGCTCCAACTTCACCTCACCCTTGGTGTTCTGCAGGCTTTTCATCTCCTTCGCTGCTAGGCTAGCACTCATTTCGAAGGTGCCTGACTCGGTCGATCGGGTTGCATCTTTGCTTTCCACCAAGGTCCGGTAAAAGTACCGGCAGAGCTCGGTCATCTTGTGCTTCACCAGGTTCCTCTCGTGCCCCCAGAAATCCTCGGATTCCTGGAGCAAACCCTCCAGCAACTCCTTCTGCCTCTTCTCTGGGAAGTCGCTGATCTTGAGGCCATTCAGGTCAAAAATTCGCGACCTCAGCGACATTGCAAAACAAAACATTAAAAACAAAATGACCAAGCAACCTATATAAAATAAAATCTAAGAGTCGCTGTCATCATGCCCTTGATAGAGACATCCTCCTCGGCTTCCTCCTTCACAACCTTCTTGGTGTACTGGCCCACCCACTTCAAGTCCTTAAGGCCATTCTTCTGGTAGGCAGCGATGAATCCCTTTCGGTCCGAGTCGGCGATCTGCCGGTAGGCCTGGCACATGCAATACCCACAAAAAAATGTAATGCATAGCAAATGGAGAATTGCAACCCGGCCTCCAGCACTTGCTGGGCTTCGCTCTGGCACTCCCCACTCTTGTTTCTCACGGGGTCGGCTTTGTACTTCACAAGATTCAGCATCCTCTGAATGCTGGCTTTCATCTCCACCGGTGTGGGATCATCTCCAATCACCAAGGCACCGGACTTGGCCCTCTTAGTTTTCGGCTCCGTCTTCGGAGCAGCCTTGGCCTTATTCTTTGGGGCCATGATGCCAAAAGGGCAACTGTACAAAAGGCTCCAGCTATTTAAACTATTTTTGATCTGGAGCCACAAAATCGAAAGTGTGTCTTGATGCATTTGTTTATCATGCTGTGACAAAACGATGCAGCATATCACTGTTGCACCTGTGGCCCGGACACATGGTATCTGCAGCACATGCAGCAAGACACCTGAGGGTTTTGCTTTAGGGTTTCAAGCTTCAGGGATTAGAGGATTTGGGTTTCTGTAAGGGTTAACATAGATCCAAAGTATAGAGGTTCTACAAGGTAAGGGTGTTTATGTATATATGTCTAGATGTATGTGTATATATATATATGTCCATTAATATATACATATATATATAAGATTATGATACTAATTCTTTTTAAGGTTTTAGTACATATATATATATGTATATGTATATATATATATATATATCATATATTTTATATATGAGTATATACTATATTAAATGACGATCGATATTATACTTATAGATGACGATAAGTTCATGTACATCACACTATACATGCTTGTTACACCATTACATCATTATATCACAGTAACATTCACATGTTACTGTGATATGATGATGTAATGATGCCCCCACATAAAATTAAACTGGAACCCAAAACCTGCTAGGGCCAGAAGCCTTCTGAACATACTGGGCGATCCCTGAAACCCACACCTTTGAATCCTCAGCATGTACACCACCAATTCACCTAAACCACTATACAACTGGAGCAACCCCCACCTTGCACAACCTTTATCCATGAGCCTTTGGAACACCTAGAACCTGTGCCACCGAACATATAGACCCTGGAAGATTGTCCTGAAACAACCCAGACCGTAGCCGCACAGCAGCAAGATCTTTGTATTGTAGGTTTCCTGGAGGCTGTGGCCTCCAGTTAAAAAGTTTAATAATTTGGTACACAGCTTATAGTGTTTTATATATACAGCACTACGTTTTCAACCGGTTGAAATTTCAACCGGTTGAAAAAGCCACCCCACCACTTAATCAAAAGCACAAGCCATTTTTCAACCGGTTGAAATTTCAACCCTTTTTCAACCCTTGCAACATTATAATAATTCTATAACACTGATTGTAAACATTAAAGCTTCAACCTTGAACCCAAACCCTAAACCTCAACCCTTATGCCTTAAACCCTAAACTTGGTAAAACCGAAAACCAAAAACCCTAAACCCTAAAAGCTTCAACCCCTACACCCCTGAACCCGGGCCCTCAAACCCTAAACCTAACCTTTAAACACTGGAACCCTAAACCCTAAAAACAACAAACCCTAAACCCTTAACCCCTCAACCTGTAAACCCTGAAACCTTAAACCCCAAAAACCTCTAACCCTAAACCCTTAACCCCTCAACCTGTAACCCTTAAACCCTAAACCCTAAAAACCTCTAACCCTAAACCCTTACACCCTGAACCCCTAAACCCCTGAACCTTTAAATCCTTAGACCCTAAACCCTGAAAGCCTTAAACCCTAAACCCTTGAACCCCCAAACCCCTCAACCCTTAAACCCTAGACCCTTGAAACCTTAAGCCCTTAACCCTTAAACCCTAAACCCTTATATTGCCTTTAACCCTTAAACCCTAATCCGCCGGTGCCTCGGCACCCATGATGGGGATGCCCAGCCAACCTGCAATACAAAGAAGCTGCAAACACAACAAAAAAAACTGCACTGCATGCTACAGACTGCACACCATGCACTCTGAGGCCAAGACCATTGTTCAGGAGTTCCAAGGAACTCCTGCCAAAAAGCATGGATGATGAAACCCTGAAAACAACAGCACCACATGCCACTGAAAACGGCTCCAACACTAACACTTCTTTTCTGCACGATCGCTCTGATCATCATCGCCCTGGAAGATGCATTCTGCACAGGGGGTGAAACACATCACTCCTCATCCCTCTTTCTCTTATTCTTGCCCTCCTCCGAATCGCCCTTGCCATCCTCCTCATCCTCATCGTCCACATCCATGCCGGGCTCCTCCTCATCCGGCTTAACCTCCTCGATAATTGGCCCTGGGCCCGCCGCCGGCGGCGGCATCGGCGGCTGCCCCGCCATCCCGGCTCCAATGGCCGCAAGCAACCCGGCGATGACATCTGCAGGGGAAAACAAAAAAACTGGAGTTCCAAAAAAACTCCAGCGAAAAATCTATAATAAAAAATTTATTACAACTTATCATAATATATATCCCTGCCTGAGGATCCGGAGGCACCTGAGCTCCCAAAGAAATTGATGTTGATTGCCGGCACCGGTGGCTGAATCACTCTCGGATACGTCCTGGGGATCAAAGCCTTCACCACACTCTCGGCCTTGATGGGCGTCTTGTCCTGAAAGGCCCTCGGGATGCCCTTGCTGATAGGCGGCTTCAGCGGCTTCGGCTGGATGGGCGGCTTCGGCTCCGATGGCACCTTGGGCGGCTTCGGCTCCGAGGGCTTCTCCTTAGCTGTATATATACATGGAGTCCCAAAATAGAACTCCAGAAAAAATTATTGAAGCTGAGATTCTGCACGGATGGTACCCGGTCCCTTCGTGAAGCCCCGTTGGACTCCTCGCAGCCGACGGTTGATCCCCTTATTCTTCTTCTTCTTGCCCTTCTTGCTGGGATCCTTGGCCTCCTTGGCCTCCTTGGCCTCCTTGGCCTTCTTGGCCTCCTGGGCTTCCTTGGCCTTGTTCTCCTCGGCCGCTTTATTGTAGGCCCACCTCATGTTGGAGAGCATCTTCTCGAAGCCCTCAGAATCCTCCATCCAGCTCTTCTCCCGCTGCTTCCCCTTCGCATGATACTTCCAGTCCTTCTGGTGGACGTAGTACAGGGGGCCTGCAGGGCGGAGCTGCATAAACCTGATAAAAAAATACGGGAGTCCAAAACGACTCCCGAATAAAATCGGAAAATTAACACACTTAAGTTTAAATCTTACTGAAAACAAACCAAGGTGCATGAGGGATTGCTGCATCCTCCTTTTCTCAGATATGCCACCGTTTTGCACTTACGACACATTCTCAAATCCGGCCCCGGCCGAGCCTCGGCCGGCACGGGCACTGCCGGGTCTTCCACCCGGACCTCCGACTCCTCGGATTCCTCCTCCTCCAAATCCACAGCTGCACCGAGCTTGCTCGCCGCCATGGCGGCCCAAATCCAAAAACACAGCTACAAGCACTCCAGAGCCCTCGAGCTCAAAATTCTAAGCATGGAGGCAAGAACTTCCACAAATCTGCTGCCCTTGCACTTGCAAACAAAAACGAACATGAAGAATCTGCAGATCAGTCCTTGTCCTCGCAGTAGAGCGGCACGAGCACCATGGTCTCGACCTGGGCACAGGGGGCAAGGGGCTTCAAACCTACCCCGGGAGGCGGCGAACCTCCCGAAAAAAAAAAACACTGCTTGGAACTCTCAAAGCTATGGCAGGCAGGCTCACAACCGAACTGAGGGCCCGGCAGGCAACAGGAATCTAATCCTATAGACCCTTAAACCCTCAAAGCGCCAAAATGGCCAAAATATCTAGATTTGTTAATTTACGTATTTATAGAATATAATATATAGAAAACACCTCGCAAGCCATGTTAACCTAGAGACGTGGACATGCATGCTTTGAGCCAGCTACAGATATATACAAAAACACAGAGTCTTCAAGTTGCATGCTGCACATACCAAATTTCATGTTGCAAAAGCATGGATCCAAAATGCAGGCACTCACAAAATTTCTGCTCGAAAGCGAAATCGTCATCGATCGTCGAGTCTCGATTGCAGCTCACCCAGCTATGGCTGCATGCTGCTCAGTTGCTCTTCTGCCCAGCTCCTGACCTGGGCCAAAGGCTCTCCAGCTCGAGCTTTTCGTAGGGCTTCCTCTCCTGTTGCATGCAATTGCTCCTTCGTGGTGGCGGAGCCGCCTTTCAGCTGGAACATCTGCCTCTTGCACTCTTTGTTCTTTTCGTTTCGCCAAATCATGCGAAAGGCCATGGTGTTGTTTGCTGCACGATACTCCTTCCGAAGAACCGCATTTGCAGGGAGAACCGCCACATCCCCATAGTTCGGATCCTGATCATCATCTGCAGCTGGAGCATCGACTGGAACCAGAGCGGCTTCGGCAGGGGCTTCGAGATCTTGGCCTGCTGCAGCATCATCTGCACCTGCAGCTGGAGATTCTCCATCTTCCTGCGGAAGGCAGGCTGGCTTCTTGATGACTGCAGCTGGCTTCTTTTTGCTAGCTGCTTTTGCTTTTCCTTTAGGAGATGCTTTGGCTGCAGCTGCTTTGTCCAGCAGAAGGTTCGGGATCTCGCTCACGATCTGATGCCCATCGGACCACACTGCCACAGCAAAACCAGAAGGCCCCTTGTGCATCTTGGCAGCCTCTCGGCTGTCACCTGCAATTCGCAGCACCGTTGGTACTGACAAATCTGTGTGGAAAAAGCTGGCGGCCGATGCAGCCTGCTGGTATAGCTTGCTGATTTGGCCTGTAGGCAGAGGCCTTGGCCCATCTCTCGTATGGCTTGCAGGTTCTGCAGCTTCTGCCGGCTCCTTCTTAACTGTTGCACCTGCATCCGAAGAGGACACAGAGACGTGAACCTCAAGTTTCCTTGTCGATGCCTTTTGGCATGTCGAGTCCAGCCTTTGCTTGATCTTCTTCTTCGGAGAGGCTTTGGGCGACCGGGCAGAGCCTGAGCTTGCCCTCTTGGACCCCTGCTTACTCTCCGGTAAACGGAGCAAGTCCTTGATGAAGAAGCACATGTCCTGAATGCTGTCGGCCAGCCTTCCTCCTGTGGACATGTTGCGAGTCTTCGTGAAGAGAGTCTTGTAAACTTCGTGAAGATGATTCGCAAACGTCTTCAGCTCCAAGCTTGGTGCCCCTGGCCACACCAAGCTCATTGATTCACGCATGACAGCTGCAGTCGGCCGAGTAGTGATGCCCAAAATCTCCTTCATGAGCACATGATGCTTCTTGCAAAAAGCATCCAAAGACAAGAGGGCATCTCCAGCTTCCACAGCTTGGAGATTTCCTCTGAAAGTCTTCATGAGATCTTTCCCGGTGGCACCATTGGACCTCCGACTCGACATTGCCATGCTGCTTACAAAAAACAGAATTCAAACACTCGAGCAAAAAAATCGCAGATCCTGCAATATCATGCCAATATTCCTTCGATCTTGCAACTGCACTGCCTGCAGCATGCATGCATGCCGAATGTCGCCGCGATCCAGATCATGCATGCAGGAGAGACATGCATATATGCCCTCCTGAAAAAAAAATTAATATAAAGATATATACATCGATATATATAGAGATAATAAGTGGTTGTATGGAAAACTGTCAGCCTTAATTAAAGCTGATTATATCAGCTCTAAATAAAGCTTTAACGCTTATCCTATAATTCTTAAAGAGGCGTCACCTTATTTAAAGCTTATTGGAGCTTCAGGGGACGCAGCTCCTCCAAGCGGCTCAACCGCATCTGCCGCAGAGTCACCGCAATCTCCTTGGCAACTGGCTTGATACCCATCTCTCTCTGGACCTCTGGACGATCAGCAAATGGAATTTTTCCGATGGCGCGTCACGGAAATTTGAACCGGCGTGACCATTTGCGCTTTTTGGGTATCACAACCAAGACAAGGAGATCCTATGAAGATGCGGTGCAAGCTTTCTTTGTTCATATATTCGCGCCCTACGGGGCAGGCTGCCTTCCTCTATGGAAGAACTCGATGATGAAGTTTCCGAGTACATCAATCACCTGTACCAAGAGGGTGACAATGTAACCTTGGCGGGGTGGACTGTCAGTGGCCTCAAAAGGTTCTTTCCTCGCTGTCGGCCCCACCTGCTTACCTCGCAGCTTTATCTGCGTAATTGGCATCGGGTTCACATGCCAAAGAGGACGTCACCCATATCTTGGTTGGGGGCCAAAGCCATGGCAGCCGCCGCGGCTCAGCTCAAAAGATTTGATTTGGCTTTGCTTGTTCTCTTGGGCTTTGCTTTTTTCCTTCGAACAATGGAGCTGATTGGCCTCAGCGCTGCCCATGTCCGCCTCTTCCCTGAAGACGGCACCGTGGTGATTGCAATCTTGGGCGCAAAAGCCGCAAAAGGGCTACAGCAATCCCTTTCTCTCCGAGAGCCCTCTTTGGTGCAAGTTTTGCAATTTCTGATGGACCGGGTACGCCCGAGTGATCGAATCTACACTAAATCAGTATCCACTTTCCGGCTGGAGTTTTCTTCACTGGTTTCTTCGGTTGGTCTGGAACCTGGTGACTACCTGCCCTACTGCTTGCGCCGTGGCGGCGCTACTTGGTTTTACCAACAGCATGGCCTAGGCCGCACCGTCATTCAGGGGCGCTGGAAAGACCAACAAACGGCCCGCGTCTACGTGGATGACGCGCGAGCCACCTTAATCCAACTGCTTCTCCCCGCCCGCGTCACCGCCCGACAGGCTTTCCTGGCCTCTTTTTGGCGAGTGGCTCTGCCAGTGGGCTAGCCCAATCTCGGGGCAAGTTGGCGATTGGGGGAGTTGCCGTGTGGTTGGTTTTGGTAGGCCAAACGTGCCGGAGGATCCTCCCACGGGAGAGACGTCTACGGACGAGACTTTGGGCCTCTGTACTTTAGCTGGGCTCTGGCTCAGCCTGTGGTGTGGATTAGGATTTTCACGCCAACTCTGATGCCTCCCAGCGTTTCCGGGAAAAAGATCAGCGTCTTCCTGTCGGTTGAGAATACTCCCAGTGGTCGTAGCGCCGCGCAGCTGAGCGTAGTCCACGCATCTTTCTCAACCTGTTTCGGCGTAGAGTTTGTGGCTCGCCACCACTGGCCCCTCCTCCTCCCTAGGCCAAACGTGCCGGAGGATCCTCCCACGGGAGAGACGTCTACGGACGAGACTTTGGGCCTCTGTGCTTTAGCTGGGCTCTGGCTCAGCCTGTGGTGTGGATTAGGATTTTCACGCCAACTCTGATGCTTCCCAGCCTTTCCGGGAAAAGATCAGCGTCTTCCTGTCGGTTGAGAAAACTATTTCAGTTTCTCCTCCTGGTCTCCGTGGAAGAGTTACCGGAAGCCCCCCCGATGGACATTGTTTGACATCACCTGCTTGTCTAGCGTAGCCCACATGATCAAGGGTTCGGAGGGCACTGCAGCTTGTTGCTCACGAGTTGGAGAACTCGAAGAGTGCGAACCGCCAGGAGAAGCATGACCAGCAGCGCTGCCTTAAGGCGGGATCTTTTGTGAAAAGCGGTAGAGGTTCGAGGAAACCCTGTTGGAGGGAAAGCTTGCTGAGCAGGATGCATCCTGCTTCGTTAGCAGCACAACATCAAGACTCGGAGATCGAAGGACTCCAAACCACTCAACTGGTTGCCAACATTTCTGGCGAAGACTGGGCGGACCAGAACGGAAGAGTGCGAGACGAGAAGCCCGCAGAAAGACTCTCTGACTGTAAACACCGAGATAATACCCGTGGTTTCACGATGCGATGCTGAGCTGAAAGAGCTCTGGACAACGAAGTGGGCGCGCGCGCACTCAGGTTGCCGGGCTGGTAGCTTGCTCTCTGCTTCCACGACAGGAAAAACGACACCGGAGGAACGCGGGGAACCAGAATGGTTGGCACAAAGATTGTGATGCAGGTCTGCGTGCAATCCTTCACGCGAGCCTTGCTTCAGGGCATCAATGTTTGCGTGACTGGCCTCAGCTGAGCTTCTTCAAGCTGCTGTAGGAGAATGTCCGAGAGGAGTCGCCGGATTGCTGCGCATAGGTGCTTCTCGATGATAACCGAACCCGCCTGGCGGAAGTTGGCATCCTCAGCTTGGAGTGTGCCTCTGCGAACGCAGACGCTGCCTAGCGTAAGGCCCGCCTGGATTCGGACATAACTCACCTGGTCCTGCACGTGCCGCATGCGCAGCATCCCGTGGCCCTGAAGTGCCCCTGAGCCACAGCAGGCGGCTGCAGGAACTGAGCACCTCCACTTCAGGTATATAGATGGTATCTGTCCCCCCACGCCAACATGGCCAACGCCAAGCTTCGGAGAGGAATCCGAACTCACATCTTTGTGTGGGGTAGCAGCCTGCCCTTTCTTCTTTCTCTGCTCTAGAAGCTCTGCAGGATGGCTGCTTGCAATCGCGGGCAACGCTGACGATGAGGGGAGGGCAGGGACCTCGGAGTGCCCTGCCGCATGTGCCACCCTGCCGTCCTCGAGACTGGAAGCAGTGATAAGCAGTGCCAACGCAGGCAGTTTCTGACCTTTGTCTTCGACAGCCCCAGGGTGTGCCGGGCGTGTTGGGTTTTCTGGGCAGCCTTGTGTGCACGAAAGCATAGCCGCATCTGTGTAATTGGCGCGAAGGTCAGGGAGTACTTCGAGATGTGCCTCAAGGAGGGAGCGGAAAGCTTCTTCGATGTGCGGCCACGTGTTCATGCATGCGTTTCCAAACACCCTCCGTCGCAGGCAGCAATGAAGCCCTCCCATGAAAAAACGGTGTGTTTCCAGGTCCTCATCATCGCCAAAGGCGGAGAAAGGACTCCAGAGGCCCTGATGCCGAATCTAGCGTTGCGGATGTTTGTAGAATTATGATGTGGTGGTCTGCCCAATCGAAAAAAGTCCCTCAGATCTGGTATGCTTCGGACCAACAATCCTGTCACGTCGCAATGAGCACTGAACCTGCCAGCAGTGACCGACAGACGTCACGATGGCACTAGTCCAGCAGCCAGCACCTCGTGGACATCTTAGCTGCACCCATCTTCCACGCAGACTCTTATTCTAAACCCGTAGCGGACCGTCCCAGCCTGTGAAGAGGGAAGCTTTTCTGGCCAAGCAGAGGGAGCGGGAGAAGCTTCTGTGAGCTTTAGAAGTATGGCTGGCGTGTGCAAATGTTGTTGAGGTGACGGCGGTAGAAGTGACGCCAGCACCAACACGTTTGCGTAACGAGAGAAGCGGAAAAGGAAGGCTCGACAGCTGCGCGCTCATCCATGTTCCAATTCGCTCGAGCAGGACACTTCCAGTGGTGAAATCCTGGGTGCCTCCCTTGACAAAGACTCCAAGGTGGGCAACAACGACCAACATGCAGATTAATGTTTCAAACTGCAATGGGTGTGTGTGTGTGTATATATATATATATGTATACAACATGGGTCGTAGACGGGACACTCAACCATAACGGACAACGCAGCTTCTTCAAGCGGTTCCAGACAGCTTCAGGCTCGCAACTTTTCACCAGGAGAAAAAGTAGATAAAGTAGCTACCAAGGCAGAAACTGATACAGAAAACAGCCACATTCGGTTCTCGAAGTTGGGCTCCCGTGATTGCACGCGGCCTCTGCCGGTGTCGCGCGAGGTGGAAATCTCCTCTTGTTGAGTGAGCTGTGCGCTACTCGTCGTCAGGGCAGGCAAAAAATGGAGTGTTGGGGAGATGCAAGGTTGAGTATGTTTGTCAGGGCGAGAGATGCTTGATTGAAGCAAAACAGCGTTCAGGGATGTTCGGCTGTATCTGCTATATGGAGCTCGCGCTGTGAGCCTGAGTTTTCATCCTGCTCTTTCTTACATCCCTTCGCTCTTGAGCAGTCTTATCCGACTCCAAGTAGTATGTGCGAGAGGGACTGGAGTCTTCCCGGATTCAAGCTCCCGGGTTTGAGTGCCCGCTCGTTTCTCGTAATGTATTGCACACCTTCGCTATGCGGCCGCATGTATTCAGCACAGGGGCAGGAGCTTTCACACCCGAAACCAGAATCTCAGAAGGGCTTCTTTGTCTGATCATTTCTCCGTTGGCCCAAGAGCCGACCCAGGCTTGGGTCCGGGCTGCCTTTCCTCACTTATCAGGCTTGAGGCTTTTGAGCTTATGCCCACCGAGCTGGGCAGTGCTAGGGTACTTCACTCACAGTAGACATGGTCGCAATGCTGAATGAGAAGTCGCGCCGGGGACGAGGGCACGTGTTGCTTTGGGTCTTGGCATGGGCTTCTGCAGCTTTTGCCTTTACGGGTAGCACGACCAAGGCAAGGAATGTGCCACCAACAGCATCACTGCGTGAGTCCGAAGCTGCAGCTTTCAGCGGGGCAGTGGAGGTTTCAGCTGCTCCAAATGTCCCAGATAATCTGACAAAGAGAGAGAAGATCGAATTCATGTTGTGGAGAGCATGGCACTCCATGGGAAATCCGCGTCCCCGATCCAAAGAAGTGAGGGAATGCATCGCCTTCTTTCGTGGATGTCAGCGTCAGCTTGGCCACAAGAAGCTTCTCGTGGATGCTGCTGGAGGACATGGTGGCATCGCGTGTGTTTTCCTCGCACACAAGAGAGCTGATCGAGTCACCTGCAACATGCTAGTATCCGCAGTTTTTCATGCACAAGCTACGCTACGTGTCCTCTTGGTGGAGTTTCAGGGTCTTGTGACGAATCCCCAGTCTGAGTCTGAGTCCTCTAAGGCGATCGTGGTCGATTTGTACCAGCCGACGAGCTTTGAGAATCTACGCAGGGCATGGGCGGATGATCCGGATGGGAGTGATGCCTCGGTGAAGTACCACATCGCGGACGTTTCGAGTCCGGACTGGCTGTCATCACTTCTGGACAAAGAAGCCGGGGATTTGCGGCCAAGTGAGATCGGCGTGGTTTCCTGCCACGCATGCAGCTTGTTGTCAGACGAGCTGATTCGTGCATGTACCAGAAGCCAAGTGGATTTCGCTCTCATGCCATGCTGCCACGGCGAAGATAGTCGTAAGGGCAAGATGATGTTGAACACCGCGAAGATGCTTGGCATACCTCACGACATGCTGATTGACATATCCCGCCTTGGGATAATTGAAGAGAGCTCTGGTTACAAAGCTTCGATGAGATGCATTGACTCCAGCATTACACCACAAAATCGAGTACTTCTCGGGCTGCGGGAATCAGAAGCAGATGCCGAAAAGCGTGAGTTGGCGCGCTCGGCATCGCTATACCGACTGGCCAGAAAATATCGACACATCGGCATCCCTCTTGGAAAAGGAACTGGTCGCGTGACGGTGGTTGCTAGTCCATGGCGTGCGATTGCAGCGTCAGAAACCAGTACCGTGTAAGTTAGGTGCTCGGTTTGCGCACTCTAGCTGTCATGCTCATGCTTCCGACGAGCCAATGCAAGTGTATCACTCGCAACACTTGGCTTGCAGCTGTTCCTTTTCATGGAAGTAGGAAAATGCCGTTTCCCACCGCACACGCTACCATGCGTGTAGCGCAAAGCTTGAGGTGGGGTGGCAGTACATCTCTCATGTGCTTCCTGCACTTCCGCCTGCATGCCTGCATGTTGAGCTGGACGGGTAGGCGGAAGCTGAGACGGGCATGGTGGTAGATGCCAGCTCCAAAGCGCCCTGGTGCACATGGTGCATGTGTCAGTATCAAGTACTATACCCTTTGGCAAGGTCCGCCATACATGTCGTGTCATGTATAGAAATTTCCCTTGCCGCCGGATTGGTTCCTCAACTTCAAGCCCTTGTACGTTTTTGAAGTTCTTGCGTGAAGGCATCGCAGACATCAGATGATACCGAGGAGGAGCCAGCAAAAAGACAGTGTGCGGGCTTATTTTCAGCAAGTGAACTGCGGCTGATAGCGTAGTGATCCTTGTGACCCCATGATTGGTCCAGGAGAATCCACCTGATGATGAGCATGAGCACAAGCGGCCAACAGCGCAAGGGAGCCTGGTGTTCCTCGAAAGGACAAGACATCCAGAGCTTTTCTTAGAACAGGCCGGAAGGTGTCACCACGCAGCCGCACAGGGCAAGGCTCTCGTTGCCCTTTGCAAGCCGTGCACCCGTGGCTGGCAGACACACTTCCCACTGAGGCAGACTCCGCCTGGCTGGGTCCTCAAGTTTCGAACTGCTCCGAAGCTACACTCATGGATCAGATTACACAGCCGAAGAGGAGCTGGGCAGAGTACTTTCTGGTGCCTCCGTTCCAGGCGCATGCGCAGCAAACCGCCAGCTGGTCGTGAAACAACACTGGAGACATCAAGTATCCTAACATCGTTGACACCGTGGCAGTTTGGCGCCATGTGCGGAAACGTCAAGGAGCCCTTCTGTGCTGGAGCCTGAACAACGTCTTGGTCGACATGGCTTGCCTGTGTATTCCTGAAACAAACACCGACTCCTGCAGTCTGAGCACAGAGGTGTTACCTTCGCGTGCACCCGCAACGCGAAATGGTCAGGGTGCCCAGTTGCGAGTCTGTGTTCCGGCCACCAGCTTCATTTTCTTCCGAAGCCATCTCTTTGCAAGGGCATTCCGCAGCAGCCTGGGTGGTGCCTTGGCTCATGAAGACCAACTGACCGTTTGAAGGCTGAACCGCCGCCGAATCTGAGGCGCCGTTGCCGGCTGTGGCCTTGGAAGGCGGGTAACGAAGCTAGCAACTGCCAACTGCTCAGCTTATTCGGTATGGAACGCTGCGTGTTGCATCGTACAGGACCAGCGGACCTTCCAAAGTCTCAAGCCATTGCCCAGCCTTCAGTCTACTGACGAAACCGTGCTACATCCCACGCGCATGGGGGTTTTGCGCAAGGCAATCTTGCCGCTCAAGAGACCCAGAAGGTCGGAGGGTGGCCCTTTCGATTAATACTTGGGGCCTCTGCTGGACGCTTACGATGGCCGATAGCAGGTCGCAAACTTCAGCCACTTCCTCTCCGATGGAGGTTCGGTGGTGCAAATGCTAGACTGCATGGGCCATTTCTGAGCTGCATGTTCGACTGACGCTCAGTGGCTCACAGGCACTGGGCCCGTGAAACTGCATGTGCCACTGCACATCACAGACAGGGAACGTAGCATAGTCTTGCAGATGGGGCCTTAGCAACCTCTGCCATGTAAGGCGCACCACGGCAAAAGAACCTCCCCGCAATGGCCGCCAGATGGCTTTCCTGGCTCCTGCTGCTTGTTGGTGGAAGTGTGAGCTTCGTGGGCAACTGGAAGACACCGACCATCTCCCGGACGGCTCGGAGGGCGGCTGGACAGCAGCTCTCCCCTCCACCCGTGCCGGCAGATGCAAGGTGGGACTTGTGGCCAGCCTTGCCCATTGCACCTTGCCTCGGGACTTAATCTTGTGCCCCAGCCCATGGAGGCCAAGATCAGATCGTATCGGTCAGGAGATTCTGCTCCTTTGTCTTCTGCCAGCCGGGCCAGCTCACATCAGATTGACCGTGCGTATACCCTACATACAAACCTCAGCCATGAAATCGCCCAGTCTAAAGAAGCTAAGCACTCCGGTCTGGATCTTGCAACAGCGAAGCTAAGGCGCCCTACGAGAGGCGACGTACCTTCCTGGTAGAGTACATTCCGGGAGAGCTGTGGGGCTTGGAACAGAAACTCGGCCTGCTGTATGTTCACGTCCCCATTCGCATGACAGTCCTGCGTTTAGAGTCTGGTGGACTCTTGGTTTATGGGGCGGTTGCCCCAACCAATGAGTGCCTGTCGCTGCTCCGCGAGCTCGAGTCCAAGTACGGGGCCGTCCGTTTTTTGGTTCTCCCGACCGTAGCCGTGGAGCACAAAACCTTTGCAGGGCCATTGGCCCAGCGGCTTCCTGATGCAGAGGTCTGGATCGCTCCAGGCCAGTATTCCGTTCCTTTACCACTGCCGCTAGCCTTCTTGGGCTTCCCCCTCTTCGGGGTGCGGGAACTGCCGCGGGACAGTGCTGGAGCGGATCTTCCATGGGGCAAGGAACTGGAGCACATTGCCCTGGTCTCAGTTTTTCGGACATGTCGAAGAGAGCCTTTCCCCACTGGGGAACACGCCCCGCAAACGTCAAGTCTCACAGGTCTTTGGCCCGGTGGGCAAGGACCCCTCTACCGGTGCCTTCTGCGAGGCGGCCTTTTACGTCCCGCGTTTGCGGGTGCTGCTTCTCACGGATTTGCTGATTTCGATCCCTCGGGACCCACCGTTGGTGCTGAGGGAAGATCCGCGGCCTCTGCTGTTCCACGCGAGGGATGGTCCTTTGGAACCGGTCGAGACAGACGAGAGGGCACTGCAGCGAGGCTGGCAACGGATCGTGATCTTCTCCCTCTTCTTCCAATCGGGTGCCATTGACGTTCAGCCCGTGGAGGAAGCTTTCCGCGACGCGCAAAAGTCTCAGGCGCCTGAGTTGGGATGGGCTGGCTTGCTTCCGTGGAACTATCGGGACGACTGGCAAGAAGCCTTCGAGGCCATAAGTGGCGGAGTGCTCGTCCCTCCCATTCTTCAGGCTCTTGTCTTAAACAGAGGTGAGCGTGACACGGCGCAGCTGCGCGACTTCGTCGCTCTGGTCGCGGAGAGGTGGCCCTTCGAGCAGCTGCTGGTCTTAAAAAAACAAGAAGATACTGATGGTACTTGTACTCGTATCTGCTTTTTGGCTCATCGGCTTAAGTTCTCTGTAGGAGTTTCTTCGGGTTCGGCCACGTGCTCAGGATGCTCTCGCTCCACTTCGCGGGGCTGACGCGCTGCTCTCCGGGAGATTGGACTTCGGCCTTCCGGCGCTTCCTCGATGAGCCTACGCTTCCCTTCGCCACCTCCGGGCCGCGTCCACGCGACAAGGAGCCACGTGTCGGAAATGTTTTTGAGAGGCGAAGGCCAGGCTAAGGTCCGTAGGCCCGTGCAGTTCCGCGGGAGGACCTCGCCTTCCTCAGAGACTTCGGCTCACAGCTGCAGTCCATTGGCAACATCGAGCCCCTCTCGGAGAAGCGCCAGACCTTCTTCTAGGACTAGGAACGTGACGTGCCGGCTCTGATAGGGTGGTTCCGTCGAGCAGCTTTACTGTGACCATGTGACTTTCGTTTGGGATTTGCCATCTCATGATGTTTAGCCCCCCACACACAGGTATGCGGTATTGTCCTGAATCTTCGTACACCCTGCAGAGAGTCCGCGTGGTGTGGGCCGCTTGTTTTCAGTGCCGAAGGCACTCCCAACACGCTCACCTCTTTACTCTTTTAGTGGTCAAAGCACTTGAGGTTCTACGCTACAATACTACAGCATATTGATGTTGGTGAACAGTTGCTTACTTGCTTACTCGCCTGTCAGCCTGCGTGCTTACGTCCCTGCATCATGCATACATACATACCCACTTCCATACCCATACCCATGCCAATGTCCATAGACGCAAGCACATGCATGCATTCCCATACGCAGAACCCATGCTGATTCTCGTCATGTGCACCTAAGCAACACATACACAAACGCATACATACACATAAAATGCACACATGCATGCAGACACACACACACACACATGCATATATATATATATATATAGATAGATATTTACATATATAGATATACATACACATACACGTGAACTATATATATATATACACATGTACATACATATGTATACGTATATATATCTATATATATATATATCGCATATTCTGGCATATATGTATATGTTCATGCTTATGTGCTATGTATGATGTGCATGTGTATGTGTACGTACATGTATATGTACATGTGTATGCATATGTGTATGTATGTGTAGTCTTTTTTATATGTCTATTCATATGTATATGCATATGTAGTTACATGTATATGTGTATGTATGTGTACATGTATACATATATGTGTACATCTACAGCGACATTCACATACTTATACACATACAACTACACATGCACACATGCACCGAGAACGCCACACCCACACACCCACCCCACCCACCCACCCCCCCGCCCGCCCACCCACCCACCCACCCACCCACCCCACCCACCCCCCCCACCCACCCACCCCACCCACCCCACCCCACCCCACCCACCCACCCACCCACCCACACCCACCCACACCCACCCACACGCACCCACCCACACCCACACCCACCCCCCACACACACACACACACCACCACACCCACACACCCACACCCACACACACACACACACACACACACACACACACACACACACACACACACACACACACACACACACACACACACACACACACACACACACACACACACACACACACACACACACACACACACACACACACACACACACACACACACACACACACACACACACACACACACACACACACACACACACACACACACACACACCACACACACACACACACACACACACACACACACACACACACACACACACACACACACACACACACACACACACACACACACACACACACACACACACACACACACACACACACACACACACACACACACACACACACACACACACACACGTGCATGCACAGACACATACACACCGTCATACACACTCATACACACTCATGCACACGTGCACGAAGCACAAAGACACGCCAGGCACATACACACGTACGCACATGTTACTACAGCCAGGGACAGACTGGCAGGCAGGCAGCCATCCATCCATCCCTCCATCCGTCCATCCCTCCGTCTTCCCCTCTGTCTGTCCCTCCCTCCCTCCCTCCATCCATCCATCCATCCACCCATCATGCACGCATGCATGCATACATTCATGCGTACATCAGTACATACATACGTACATCAGTACATACATACATGCAAGCATGCATGCATGCATGCATCATCTGTACATGCGTACGTACGGGCATACATGCATACATACACAACACATATACAGACATGCAGGCGTACAGACGTACAGACGAAAAGACACATATTGTATGTAAAGGCATTCATACAGACAGACGTACACACAGACATACACGCGTATGTACGTAAGTATGCACATGCAGACCTGTGTACAAAGGCAGACAGGCATGCATGCGTGCGCACGCACGCACGCACGCACGCACGCGGGCAGGCAGGCAGGCACGCAGGGCACACAAAATATCATGCTTCTGTACTTGCTTACTACAGACAGACACGCGTGCATGCATTCCTACATACAACATACATACATACATATATACATACAATCCATTTGTCTGCCGATCTATCTTGCGCTGCTAGTAAGTTCTTTGATGCTTGTTGAAGGGTTTCTCTTTGGTCGTTAGGCTATTTGCCAGAATTAATGCACATGCTTGTGCAAGATATTTGCAAAAATACCTTGCATCACAACGTGCAAGTGTGGCACCGCAGCTCGAGATTGAAAGGCGAGCAGCTCGTGCTTCTTGAGGCAGTACCATAATCGAACTCGGCTCGGATCCTTGAAAGGCTGAGCCGGTGCCACAGGCGACACAGGCACGACATCCTACTTTGACGGATCCTGATCCCATCGATGCCTGTGTTATTTCTTCAGGCTTCAAGCCTATCTCGGCCAAAGCAGGTCCAGTTCTATCAGAGCTCGCCAGCTGTAACTACGTTGATATGTAGCGCAGGTGGAGAATCCGGCCAGCCAGCGGACGTTGAAGTTTTACCCGCCGGAGCCCGAGTCAAGTCCTACATTTGGTCGAACAGTCATTCGTTCAAGATTGAACACCAATCACACGCCAGACGAAGTTTCAAGGACAAGTTAGTGAGTGCTAACCAGATACCACTACACACTAAATTGTTTCAGTCAGTCTGATGTAAGCACTAGTTACTTCGGTGGAAGTACCGTAAGAGGTGTCTGAAGTCGGCGCGAGTATGACCTGTACATGGTCAGTGTGAGTGGGAAGTATGGTACAATAATGAGTGGACCACACTGCAGAACACGCTTTTTGTCTCTTTTTATTGTCGTGTAAGATAAAGCCACACTTGGCAGACAAATGAGAAAGACGAGTCGGCAAAATGAACACGGTTTGTACGTACGGTATGCAGACATGTGTACTTCATGGGCGTTTGCAGTGCGCTCGGCCCCTATCGTGTGCGAACAGCAGATGTGCCGCGAGAATTTATGGGCAGGTTGGTCACACAGAAGACAAGATGCGTAAATCAATCAGGAAACCTGATTCTAAGGCAGCCTGGTGATGATCGCTCTGCAAACTCTGCCTGGACCCCAGCACGACCGTTCGGCTGTACTAGTCGGCCTGGATTGTTTCTGGAGAGGTGGACGTCATCGAGCACGGCTTTGAGGCGGGTCTGTGCCGGCATATCCTCGCGGCCTTGCCTCTCTGCCGCCTTCGGAAGGTGCTCATCGTGAGACGGGCTCCTTCACCAACCCCGAGGTCAGTGGGATCCATCCTCCGATCTCCTCCGATCGCCTGCAGCCAACTGTCTTGAAGACAGGTGCCCGTCCGATGTCCTGCGACCTGTCATCGAAGAACCAGGACCCGTTGCACATTGCGTTCCAGCCGATCTTTCAGCTTCCTTTGTGGGTTAAAAGGAGATGTGCCAACTGCAACCAGTGCGCCTCGGTGCGCCAGCAGAGGCTCCTTGTCGAATCTTGTTCGCGGCCATCTAGAACTGAATTGAGTGTGTCTGTGTCTGTGGTTGTGGTGAATCAGCTAAACCGGTCTAACCCAGCCTTGTCTAACCTTTGACCTAATCTCTGATCTAGCCTATGGTCTGTTCTCTATAGTCTATAATCTGTTCTACAATCCAGCTTCGCGTCGAATAAAGTGTCAGACCTAATACCAAATCTAAAGCAAGCCCAATAGCCCACACGCGAGGCTATATGCATCTAGCCTTCGCATCATAGAAATGCATACCGGGTTCTCCCAGTGACTATTCTCACCGTCAGCGGTTCTGTAATTTGTCATATGCGCAGAAACGCAGTTGCTATCGCTGGATCGCCAGTCCGACAGTTTAGCTGTACAACGCATCATGGAAGATTTCAACCCTTACGCTGAACATAGTGCCGTGAAATTCCCAGAACCCCATACATGCATACATTGATACATATGCATGTGTGCATATATATTAATTACATCTATACGTATATATGTATATGTACATATACATCTATCTGCGGATCTCTCTCTCTCTCTCTCTCTCTCTCTCTCTCTCTCTCTGTGCATGGACGGATAGACGGATAGACGGATGGACGGACGGAGGGATGGAAAGGATTCCCTCCCCTCTCCCTCTCAGAAGGGCCACGCCTCCCTAACAAAGCACATGACTTTTGCTCCAAGGGCTGGAAGCCGAAGAGACTGGGAAGGCGACTACAGTCTGCAGCCAGGGCACTTCCAGGGAGGTCCGCCAGGACAGGGAGCCTTTTGATCCTTACATTTGATTCTAATTCGGCACGGTGGCAATGCGCCGTTGCTCAGCAGTTTCACCCCAAAGCGACAACTACGAAGCAAAGTACGCATCCACTGCATGTAGCCGTTGCAGCAGCAACTGGGTCATGCCCGTCCCGTTGTACATCACATGCGGCATGCCAAAGCACGCTGCAGTGGTGACCTGGCGGCATCGGTGCAGCGCCTCCAATTCACAAAACATGCACAGACCTGGCTTACTGAGCTCGTGAGAATGCACGGCTTGAAGCCTGCTAGACATCGTCAGAACATGGAATACATTCGTCGGTTTCCAGCTCAAACGATTAGCCAATCCCTATATAGGGCAGCTCGCTTCATCTGCTTGCCCCCTCCCACGGGTCATGCCCTGAGAGAGCCGAGCGTTGGCACGATTCACTCACATTTTGCTGTCATGTTTGATGTTTGGACGCAGGGGGAAAGCCGCGGGCCTTGCCGGGCATGGTTGGAAGCTTGGATCTAGTTCGCGCAGAAGAACAGAGAAGTCCGAGTGACTCTGAGGATCAGGGTAAGCCTGGAGTAGTGGTGAAGAACACCTTCTTGGAGGCCAGGAGTCAGGCTCAGGCTCCTGCACCTCGTGCCTTGCTAAAGTCTCCCTGAACCTCTGCCAGGTTGGAGATCACATGCCGGCCCTGTCTGACTGGCCGGAGTCTCGATGCCCTGAGCGACCCTGCGCTGGCCTATGCGATGCTGTGCTGCCGAGACGCTTTGTCTTAAGGCGCCGACAAATGTCCGAGCCAGCCGGATCTCAGCTTCTCGTCCTGCTGCATTGGCCACGTGATTGTAACAAAGGTCAAGATCTATACAAGCCCGGCAGAAGAGGTCGGAACTCTGCATGCCTCTGTCCGCTCTCTTCACAGCTACAGCCCTTTGGTTGTCAGGATGCAGAGGAAGAGGCAGAGGTGCTTGCGGGGGGGCTGCGATCATCCAATCTTGCACCCCTCTAGTATCCATGAGTTGAGAGTTCTGCGTTCACCGCCCAACATGACAGAATCCCGCATTCAAGGCCCCGCTCGGCGTCTATTATGGAAAACTGGGCGCGCTACCGGCGAACTCTAAACTAAAGACCAACAAGTTGCAACCAGCCTTCCGATTCCTTGCAATCCCTCTCCCGCGATCCGTGGTCTTTGGCTCTTCTGAGCTGCACCAACGGGAGGTTCCAGAGCAGATGCCACCGCTGCCCTTCGCTATGACACCGCCCTCCACGTCATCCACACACCCTGGCCACCCTGGGCTCGCACCTCAGAGCGTTCCACATGGACACACTTTCCAGGGGCCGGATGTAAGCTCACGGCTTAGGCCTGGGATGCCACAAGTGATGCCCGGAGTGCCCGTGGTGATGCCTGGTGCAATGCCTGGGGCGATGCCCGGGGTGATGCCTGGAGCAATGCCGCCTGGAGCAGTGGGCCCAGCGCAGTGCTTCGAGGCACGAAGTGGTTTCTGTTCAGTGGATGTCGCAATGTCGTATTTTATGCTGGGGCCCCTGGCTTTAGCCTCTATAACTCTACGGCGTTTCAGGCACAGCCGGCTCAGCCGATGCCACGACAGGCTTACGTAGTGTGCATGCTCTGCCTGGACTTGCCTGAAAACGTGGCCACGCCGGCAGGGCGTTCGAGAGCAAGGTAGAAGGGACATTCGAAATGGCCAAGCGACGAGCTCAGCATACTTCTTATGCATGTGTGCGGGTGCAGATTTGTGTCATGTGGCTGTGGTAGCGGGAATCCATGAGGCCATAAATCAGTTGAAAAATAATGACATCACCAGCAAGGACCTGCTGCTTCAGAAGTTGAAGTTCAGTGGAGATTCCTGAGTTCATTTCGCCTGACAAGGAACCGCCCTGGAATGATGTCACGACCGTCATGATGCGAAACTTACCAAACAAGCTGGGAGCTGACTCTCCCTATTCGAGTTTGTGTTGCCAGCATGTCTGGGATCTTCGCCGAGGTACAGACAGCAGATGCTCTTGGATGAACTGGCCGATGCCGGTTTCCGCGCGCAGGCAGCGCCTTGCACGCGTGTCGGAAAAACTCCCTGCTCTCTGTCTTTGTAAGACCGATTTCGACTTTTTTTACCTCCCCATGGATCACAGCCCCTTGGCACAAGCATCGGAGGCGACAGTTGCGACAACTTCAAGTCAACACTCAGCACTTCCGTTGTTAGGTAATGCTGCAAATTTGGGCTACTGTTGGAAGCTCAGATCAGTACACTCATCAGCCTGGCAGTTCCCTGGTTTTATCGGCTCAGGTTTCATCAATTTTACGGAGCCTGCTCTAGCCAATGCCTTCGCAGCAGCGTTCCAAGGTATGCAACTTAGAGGTCCTCGCACGATACACACAGACGTCGTCTTAGCGAGAGCTCGGACTTGCTGAGGCAAAAAGATGCGTCGCTTCAACTCGCACAAGACTGTGGTTGCATCTGTCTTACTTGCCCCGGCTTGTGTGAAACACATGTCCGTCTTCCTGACAGACCTCCCATGCAAACTCAGGTCATGCCTGCATCAATCCAGGGGTATGAGAGAAACTACAAGCACCTCGGACTTTCTGCTCCGAGGGACTAGAGATTGCACGTCTTCTGCCGAAAGCATCGTCCTGCGTGCGTTTAGATCAGGTATTACTCGTCGACCAGAGTGGCGCAAGCAGAGGACAGCTTCCACTCACGGGCGACTGCCCAACAGCATGAACGGCTTGCAGGATCCAGCTTACCGGCCTTTGTTTCTCAAGAACCTTGACGTCGACTTGCAGCAGGACGGCCTTCTTCTTGACAAGCAAGGGTTTCACTTCAACATGCTGGCGTTGACGTTTTGGGTCGTATGAGTCGTATGCGCGGGGTTGAAGTGAAAGCCTAAAGCTTCAACGAGATGTGATCCGAATTCAGGACAGGAAAGGTTCTGGTCGAGGAGCACCCGCCATGTCTGTCTTTCTGCTCTTTCCGCTTGTCTACGTTTCCTTTTCAGGCAAAGGCTTCGAGAAAGGCAAGGGCAAGAAGGGTTCGAAGGACAAGGCTCCGACGAAGAAGCCATTGGCAGAAGAGGGCCTACTTGTCGTACCTAAAACCATAGTCGCTACCATGTGCCAGGGTGGCAAGGGATCCCAGGATGGCAAAGGAGTCGAGGCTGGGAAGCCTCCTTGCGCGAGTGGACTGGCTCTTTGCTGCTTCTCGAGTTTCTATGAGGTTCTCGAATAGCTACCCACATGGTTTTACCTACTAACTGCAGATCGGTGCTCAGGCGTTTTCGCGCTTGGCATTCATGGGCCTGGACGACTCGAACACTCCGCAGGCCTAGCTCGTGCGGATGCTTTATTAGCGACAGCGCTGAGCAGCTTCTCGCACGTGCAGGGCGTGCAGGGCGACTGGACTCCGATGGAGCAGATACCCTGGCAGTCGGGAACTTTTTAACATGTGCAGCAAAAAGGTGAGGAGAAAGCCCTTTCTCTCTCCTTCTCTCCCCACGTGGCTTTGGCTTTGAGGCAAGCTGCTCCTGGATACCCGGCCTCGGGATGCGGCGGGCCCGGCGGCGGGGGGCGCAGTGGCTCCACGGTCACCTGCGCTGAGCTTAGCAGAGTCGCGCAGGGGGGGGGGGCAGCAGGTCAACTCCCGATAATTGGAGATGCTTTGATGCTTTCCGTTTCCGCTACTGGCAGCTGGAAAACGTCTCGGTAACCGAAAAGCGAGCGAGCGTGGAGTTGCCGGAATGTCTGCGTCCGATCGGTACTCGAGACCAGAGCGGAGAGTAGGAGCCGGAGTTCTCACAGGGCACATGTGAGAGTCCAGCGCCAGATAGTCCTTTAGGGGCTGGTCGGCTCGGAAGGGTTCGAACGTGGAGACTGGCAGACGGGCCCATATTTCTCAGTTTCCCGAGGTCCCAACTGCGGCAACATGTGCAGCAGCGACCACAGGCCGCGCTAAACCGCTGAACCGGCTCTGAGAGCACGAGCTTCTGGCGCCGCAGGTTCTGCTCGGCCTGTGGCCATCCGATCTCGGCCAGGACCCCACGGCGGTAACTTCTGTGCAACATGAGATTCCGTCACTGAGGCCGGGAAGAACGCAGGCTGGGACTGAGCAGAGCCTCCAGAAGCTGGGCCCGACATGGCCCGACAACCTGACAGGCTCCGCGAATGCTATGCCGTCGCCCACGAAAGGGGGCCCGAGCGCAGGACGGCGCCAGCAGCGCTCACACAGTCGGCTGCCATGTGCCACTACAAAAGGACCCCTGATGATGAACGGCATTCCCATGGGTTGTGGCCCTGTTTGGGGCTGCGGTGGCTGTGGCGGCTGCGGCGGCTGCGGCGGCTGTGGCGGCTGCGGCGGGGCATGTGTTTTGCAAGCAACGCCCACGCTCTGGCACAACACTCTCGGTGTGAAACAGCACATGTTGGACATGGTTGGAGGCCCCGGCGGCTGTGGCTGCGCAGGGGGCTGTGTCTCACCGTGCGGAGGCAACCTTAGCCGGAAGCTCAGCTTGATGAAGCGGCTATCGTTGTACCGGCAAAGAGACTAAGTTGAGAGCCGAGCTCAGGTGCGATGAATATGCGAGCTGACGCTCCAACGTTCATGCCCAACATGCAGGAGGATTCGATTGAACTGAAGCCCAGAGACAACGAGTTGGTTTCCAGCCTTCGGATGTGAAGGAGCCTGACAGCAGCCCCAATCGGCAAATGCCCTCTGGTTCCCACCAGGTTCCGCTAAAAGGGTCCCAGCTTGCATACCATACTCGTAAGATCGCACGCACTGTCGCCGTCGTTGCCTTAGAAGTGCCTTAAGAAGCTGAACTTGTTAGACCCTGTCAGCTTGCCGACCCGGTCAGCAACGAGTTGGATGTCATGCGAGGGCGCCGGGAGCCTACCTGCCACCCGCGGAACCACCCCTTTGTTAGGGGAGTGGGCAACGCTCTCGAAGACATCGTTCAAGCTTTCGAGGTCTGATGCTGATCGCTGCTCTGAAGGTCAGCCGGGAACAGCAACCCACTCGGCTTGCCATG